AGTGGCAATTACGCGCTCCAGTGTGAATTTACGATTGCGCCCTTCAATTATAGTAGCGTAGTGTTTGTACATTTACAATCCCTCCTTACTTTTGATGAAGTATCGGAAGATTTCCTAGTTTTTCTTTTTACCATTGACTCTCAGGCTGCCTTCACGCTTTCTTTATAGTTTCAACAAGTGTTAAGCAAAAAATTTCCGGGGAAACTCGTTGTAGGTCCATAATAACGGCTATCCCTTAGTTAAGTTCCACTTCTGAGCAATAATCTACTGTTTGGTTGCTTTTCCTGGTGGTTTTTGTGCAGTTTTTCTTCTATTCGTTTTATGGTACTAATTCGTGCCCGTTTGGCTAGTTCACATTATCGATCGGGGTCCCCATGCTGATCCTACATCGTGGCGATTATCCTCGTGCTCGAGGATGTGACTATGTAATCAAGTTACATGACGTTGGTCCCTAAATATAGCGCCAGTTCATAAGGACTGCGCGAAAAGCATTTTTCGGCTTGCAATTTTTGTCGTCATTTCATCAACATTTCGCTACTTTCCCCACCTGTAGTTACATGTGACCGTTATGAATTACTGCTAGTAGAAGTGCAGATTCGGTTGAATGAAACACAACTGCCGTCATCGCAACTGCCGTTGTCGTCATTTCGTTAGCTATGTTATGAATCGTATAAGCATGAATTCAATTTTGAAAGACGGACGGCATCGTGTGTTTGTGTGCGCGTTCACGTTCAGAATGGCGTGCTAGATTAGCCTGCAATTCATGAGGTGCTCGTTGCTTCATCTTTTTTTTGTCTTTTCATAACGTCAGTGGGATGGCTATCTATATCCTCTGCTCCCTCACTCATCGCGTCGCCTCAAGTCATCAGGAATTATCCATCGTCGGCTTTCGTCATGAACGTTAATCGGAACGACGTATTCTATGCTTTTCTTCGAGACTAATTTAACGACCAGCCAGTAATTTGTCAAGTTGTTTTTCGAGAAGCTGAGAACCTAATTAGCCTTGTGATGCATTGGCTTGTTAGTTGATGGCTGCCGTCGGAACGAACGACTACAAGCTGTGGAATTGGCTCGTTTGTATGGTATTCGCTTTGAGTTATTCCTTCAGGAAAAAAAGAATATTAGGGAGCTGATTTCCCGTCATTTCCACTTGTAATATAAACATTCGTGGACTATGATTTTACGAAGCTGAGCCATCTCCCTCTTTCCGACCCCCCCCCCGCAAATATTTCTTGTTTATATTTTTTCTGCTTACTTCATATTTTTCCATTTTCCATGATTTCTCATGACACTGCTGTCTGCCGGCCAGGTTCGCCGTTTGCAGCTATGTTGGTTATAGCTATGTCAATACTTTAGGACAAATCGTCTTACCTTGCAATTGTTCATTGTCCTCATTTCCATATTACCCTTTCATATGCTCCATTCTACCAGGCTTCTTTGCGCTACTGGTAATGAGGGCTTCTTGGAAGTGCTGCTGGTAGCCTAGTATGAAGCTGCGCTCGACTGCTTGCGTTCATACTTCGCGTTGCAGTTGGGCTGCACGGCATCGCTTTGAGCGATTCGAGCGGTTGAAAACTATAGGTATTTGATCTAGCGGTGTTTCAGCGTGCGCCAGCGTGTTTGAGCGTTTGTGGCAGATGGAGTTGAACTATCGCGGCAGTGCCATTGAAACGTTACTGCCGTAGTGTGAAAACCCTCTAGAATCAAATAGCTATACTTCTTGATACTCAAATCGCCGCCGCTACCGGCTAGTATCGCACCTATCACTTTCCAGTCAACGGCGCGACACCGCTGACGCAGAGTATGAATGGCACTTAAAGAATGCGAATTTACCGTTCGTCCTAAAACAATATCAGGGGGGGCTGTTGCCGTCGACCAAATAGCGGTTGGCTTTGGCCATTAAAGTATTTCGGCGTAGCTTGACGCAGGGAATAAAGGTATAATATATCTTTTATTGTGAATAATGCAGAGTCCTCTCATTTCTTGATCGAAAAAAGTGCTTGGAGAATCGTACAGACATGATCAAATAGTTTGTTCTCGCTACTCCCTTAATTTTGTTCGCTTCACAGTTTTTCCTGGGTGTTTAACCTTTTTGGGCATGTAAGGTAACCTACGAAGCAATTGTGCTGCGTCGATCTAGATGGGCTTATGACGATTGTTTCATAATGAATGACCAACTGCGCCTTCCGGTTTTTACCCATATTTCCTTATCTTCTCCCAAATCCTCTTTTGAACCGTGTTCATACTGGAGAATCGCAGAATGTGGGACAAGGAATGCATGAGGACCGATTTGGAGGACCTGGCGGAATCGGTATCGATTGACCGTTCGAGTTGGAGAATCGCCCCCTTGAAGGATCGGAGGGAACTCGATACGTATCTCATATTTTCTGGGTTTTTTTTATCCCATTCTCTGGGTCGATACGTATACTTATCTGTCTGTATGTTCTCACACCCTTCCAGTTCCACTATGCTCAAATTGTTTGGCCGCCATTTGTTTTTGATAGTTGATTTTTCTTGCTTCACAAACGTTGTAAGGGGAGGGGGGTCGAGGTCGTACTTCCCGTATGTTGGTAGGGGGGGGAGGGTCCGTTTTACGTTTTGGCGTTGTAAGAAGCGGTGATTGACTTGACTTTTTGTGACTTTCCTGTTTCACGCGTACTATATACCACCCCACCCCCGGCTCGATTCGATGAGGAGGGACAGAGGGGCGGCCAGCCCAACTCCCCCCCCCCCACGACAAAAAAGGGGGGGGGTGTAAGGACTTGACTAAAATCCCCAACCAGTGATGTGCCCTGCTTATCTGCCTGGTTCACTACTTCGCAAGGTGATTATGTTGCGGCGGAATGCGCTCCCGAATTTGAAGACGCTCCAGCTAACTGGCCTTATAGCAGGACATGCGAAACGGTTCATAATTCATTGCTGATAGCGCTCCGTGCTGCGCTTATCGTCCTTAATATTTCAATCCGTCATCTCTTTCGAGCAGGTCATCACGCAATCGTGCCCATCTTCTGTAGATGGCCAAATGCATTAATCCACTTCATTGACGCAAACTGTGATTAAATTCTTTCTTAGTATATAAGAGTCTTAATGAAAAGCTCTGTTAAGCTGAGAGAGAAAATAAACGTTTTATGTGCTCTGTACTGGTGAATCGCAATCTTTACTTACTTCAGGAGCCTTTTTGAGTCTCTCCGCTCTTTCTAAGTTTATGAATTTTTTTTCTCCACAAAAGCTGCGTCGTAGGCACCTAGTTAACCACAATAATTTCTTACTCAAGAGCGAGAATTGATTATTCTAATGCGAATTTTTAGTAGGCTATAAAATTCGGAAATCTCCCCAGGCACATCTTAGTGAGGATATTTTATTTATATTATTTATTATTTATTATTATTTATTTAATTTATGTATGGACATTGGACATGCATAGATGATGCATGTAATTTGAGAAAAAAACAAACATACAAAAATACCAAATTGAACAATAACAAACTAGTTAAAGCATGGAAGAGAAATAATCAAACTAACTTGCTAAGTGATCGTTTGAAGGCACTGAGGTTTTGTGGAATGAGATTGCGGCGTAAGAGGAAATTGAAGCTAGTACGAACTCTGTTGGAGAAAAACAGAGACCTGGGTCGAGTCCGTAGAAACTCTTGGAGGGTGGTTTGATACGCCCCCCCCCCTTCTTTTCCCTAGTTTTTCCTAGGAAATCTTGTTGTAGAGCGGTGGGGGGGGGGAGTTTAAGGCCATGAGAGTAATAGGCTAAGAGCATTGAAGGTGCAGCTCCGTGAAAACTTAATTCGCCTCATAGTATTCTATCTAAACAGCTGCTTGAGCTGATTTCGTAAAAGTCTGTTTTCTCTGCGAAATTTTCCTTTCTCCTAGCAGTTCTCAATCCTTCCTCGCACTATTTGTGTTCTGTGACAAATTGTAGTTCATTTCGTTTTAGATTCTCACCAGTGTAACAGCTGAGTTTTTATGACGACATCTTTTCCAAAATCAAATGCCCTGCTTTTTTCAGCGATGATTGTTATTGCCTTTTTATACTAGTTCCACTTTGGTTGTTGGATGATATTGCTAGTTTTTTTTGTATGCAAAAAATGGCAAGGGAACGGGTATAGAAAGCAATGTTCTGTGCTCATTTTCGTGATTTGTTGTATACTACAACATCTACTGGAGGTTTTGTGGCGCTAATGTAGTTGGGGAGGGGGAGGGGGAGAGGGGGAAGACACTGACTACTGTTCCCTGTTTTTACTTTATTTATAATCAAGGCAGGGTGGAGCGCAGGCGACCGAAGTCGCCGAAGGATAAATTCATGGAGGAGACGAGTCCGCAAACTCTATATTTGGGTATGGGACACAAGGGGCGCTGTCCCTTAACCCCATCAGGGCCGGCTTCGTTTCTAGTTATTCCAGCATCGCAAAAAAATAAGGCCATTGCGTTTATACTCTGCAAGTAAGCAGAATTCGTGATTCCACAGAACTTGCAGAATGGGAAAAAGTGCATGCAAAGAAAAATATAGTTTCGATCAGACGAATGAGCAGTTTCGGAGAATGGCGGCGAAATAGGTGATTATAGAGCAGACCCACTAGCGTTTTCGGATAAGATGCGATTTGCTAGTGAGCAATCAATTCTGCCGAGTTCTTCAGCCCAGTGCAAACTAGCGGAATCTACAGATCTATATGTATACTTTTCTTTATCACCGATTCCCCGCGAATCGCGTCTTCTCCATTATCGCGGATTCTCCACCTTCGCAGTGTATGAACGCGGCGCTGGCGGCAGCAGTACAGAACCAACAGCACAGAACCAGATCTCAGTGTTATTGATCGTTGTTTTTTTTCTGGCAGATTTTTGTTCATTACTCCTCATTCGTCATGATTCTCGTTAACAGTGATAATTCTGCCGATGTGCTCTTTTCCCGCTCTTTGACTCGCCTCTGGATTTCCAGAAAAAAACGTTTCTATTTCAGAAGACAGACAGCAGGTTCTGGGTTCGGTGTGCCGCCAATGAAGGTCTCCTCTTTTATGGAGCACATTGATAGGCTGAAGGAGGAGTTTACCTTCATGCACAATCAACTTCAGCAGCAAAGAGTTGGTTTTTTCTCACCTTTTTCTGAAAAGTGCTTTTCCCTTTATTCACTACTAAAATTGACCCTTGGAGGGGCATTTCAAGATGTAATTGTGCAACCTTATTCGTACTTGAATTTGGGTGACCCAGTTCCTCCGCCTTCGACCTGGGAAAAAATCTCGGCGCAATCCGCCTTGGGGGGCATTTTGCACATTCGCTACTTTCTGTTGTTTTACTGACTTGCTTTACAAGGGTTGGCAGGTATTATTTACAAGGACTGACAGGTAATTTCCGCAAACTTTGGCTGGTTTTAATTCATGGCTGCACGAGATTTCACAAATCTGTGCTTGATAGCTACGCGACAATGGGAAGAAGCGCAATTGCTGAATGTCCCCCAAGCCGAATTATTCTAAAATCTTTTCTCCCTTAGTTCTGGTTCTGTACAGGAAGTTCTCTAAATGCTTCTCCAAGATTATAGGATTTCACAAGAATGCTGAGATGTTGGTAGAAGTAACCCGGGGCGGGACTTGAACCCGCATCTCCCTCTTACCGGGCGGTTGCATTATCCATTACGCTACTGGGGCCTTTTGCCTTCTCAACTCAATGGCATTTTGTACCATAGATTTACAGCGTAATGGATAACGCAACCGCCCGGTAAGCGGGAGATGCGGGTTCAAGTCCCGTCCCGGGTCCGACTTTTGCCAATATCTCAGCATTCTTGTGATAACTTACGGAGCGCGCACTGCGGCGTTAAACAGCAGTTATCAAAACTGAAACGACCTTAGATTTCTTTTTTTTGAAGAATGAGTTGGAGAAACTGAATGCTGAAAAGGAAAACATGCAGCGTCACTATATGTTATATTATGAATTTCAATGCGGTATGAATATGGAAATCCAGAAACAAAGCGAACTTTGTAAACGATATACGGCCATAATTACACAGGTATGGTAACATTATTTCGAGGACTGCAAAGCTAGTGTGTGAGTTCGATTTTTGGCTGTAATTCGATAATTCTAGCTTCTTCCATTCCTACCACCTGAACATGCTCAGCAAGCGATGAATGCTATGGAACGTGCAAAACAGGTGCGTTACCAACTGTCAGTAAGTATATTTTTCTTTTTTTGGATTATTAGAAATTACCTGTGTTGTTTCCAACTTGACTGGCCTAGTATGTTTCAAAACAGGAAAATTTTGGGGAATGAGAAGATTTATTAGAAAATAGGAGTAATTGCTAGCCATTTGTCTCGTTCTTTGCAATTTTTTGTCGTACATAACAGCGTCTCGAGACCGATGTGATGATCAAGATGCTAGCAGAGATGAGAATATCGTTTTTTTTGTTTATGTAATGTGCAGACAGCATGAGTATGACCTCTGTTTTTCGCAGCATTTCTTGTGGAGGGCTGAATACAACCCTGCTCTTTTCGACACGGCACATCCTTTCTGCAATGATGCTTCTTCGTCCTGCTTACCTCCTTACTGACTTTTCACGATTTCCCACAATTCCCCGAAAGTTTCCAAGTTTTTACGCAACGGTTGGGGTCCGGAATTCTCCAGTTTGGCGGTGGGGGTGAGTATAGGACATGTGAAACGAGGAAAAACTGCGAAAAGTCAACAAACCCGGAGTAATCTCACGGTTCCCTTTTCAAGCGCGGCAATGCAAATAACACCTTCCACCTATCCATCGCTTATGGTAAGCTCTTCCAGTATTATAGTGCTGTGGGTATCACGCGTAGAACAGAGAAAGTGAACCATCAAAAAAGTTTCCTCAAGTCAAATGCGACTCCTGCTAGGGATCTCCCAGCGTGCGGCGTCCTGTCTTGGAGCTATATTTTCTTATTAGCATAGCAATGCTCTCCTGGCTTATTCCGCAGGGATTATTGGCGTGAAATGTGTTATCCATTTCCTTATAATGAGTTTGATGCCATATAACTGCAAACAGTAATTACTTTTGAGAATTATGAAGTAAAAGGTTGATAGAACGCATAATTGGATTTCCTACACAGCAGCTTTTATTATAAAGGGGGCATTTGTTTTGCCTATATGGTCTCGAAAGATCAGTCGAATTTCGTTTCGTCTTCATTGACCGAAGGAAGAGAAATGATATGATTCATCCTGAGAACGGGAATTTTGGAAAGTGTGCTGCAGCTGCATACGTACAGCACGCTCAAAACGCTGGCGCGAAGTATGAACGCACTCATAGCGTCAATCTAGCGATTAACTAGCGCGTGGCACTACTCTCTTGGAACATTTGGGCCGTCGTTCTCTGGAGTCCACGATTCAGTCGAATCATGGACCCTTATCGAAACTGCTCCGCCCATCAACCCTGAAATTCTCAATGTTTCCTTGAAATTCCAAAAAGTAAATCAAAATAGATTAGAAAATAGAATAAAAATAGATTCTGAAAAAGGTTATATGTTTTTTTCAGATATCTACGCAAGAAGTCGGCCAATTGATGCAGTCAAATGCCCATACACAACAAATGGCAGCGATGATGCCTGCCATGGCGGGACTACCTGGTGCGTTAGGAATGCCACCCGTAGGTTTTCAACAGGCACTAGCAGCAGCAGCAATGGGAGCAACACATCGTGTACCTGAGGCTACCTCATCTGCTGCCCATTCCGAACGACACGATCAACCAAGCAGGCAGTCAAGGTTTGATTTCATTGTGTGTACTCGCTTTCAGTTTATTTTTGGGTGGGAGGGGGCTTGAGTGGGAATGTCCTCATAGACTGTCGTGAGATTTACCTCTGGATTAGGACTGGTAGTGCCTAAATCCTTCTGAGTGTTCAGTAACTCCGTGTGGAGTTAAACTCGAGTGGAGCTCGCATCAAAAATGGGTATCCTATAATAGCATTTTTCTGTTTAATTTGCCACCATTTACTCCTTTCCTCGATCCTATTATGCAGGTAGCTACACAGAATTGGGCACAGTTCGGCTTGGTGGGGTCGCCGAATGGCACTCAGTAAAGTTTGTACAGATTGTGAAGACCTGTAAAATCTTGTAACTAAAGTGGCTTTGTGAAATTTTACAGCTTCACCAAGATAAGGTCTTGAATTAACGAGAACCAGCGAAACTGCACAGTACCCCTCCCAGCCGAGCAGCGCTCAAAATTGATCGAAAGATATCTTATTCTATTGCCTCTTGAAACTACTGAAAGCGCCGATTTTGCCAGGTTAAGGTACATGGAGGTTTTACCATTAGTGCAATAAATCATGACTTGTGTGTTCCTTGTAAGTAGCAAATATTCCAAATTTGAAGTTCCAGCAAAATATTGATTTCGCTGTCGAACCCATAGGGAATTTCGCAACATTTGTTTTGTCTGAGTTAAATAGTTGAATTGGAAGGCAGTGTTTTCGGCGCTATAATTGTTCCCTATGGAATTTTTTGGTCCATTTTAGCCATCTGGTTTGCTGAAGTGCTTTCTCATACTCCAAAAACACACGAGAGAAACCTATACTGATTTTGAGAAGTATCCTAGAATATATTGATCAAGTCAAATTATTCTTTTTTGTTAATTGTCAGAGAGTACGAAAAGGGTATGCTGTTTGAACTGGGTGGTAACGTAGTTGAGCGACACTGTGTCCCTTCCTCACCGGAGCTCGGGTTAGAGCGCGGTAAGGCCGAAAGGTCCAAAACGTTCAAAAAACGCTTGAGTTCAATATGTTACTACTCTAACAGATTAGCATTTCAGGCTTGTTGCTTGCGCTAGGTGCCAAAGTATAGTAAAAAATGGGCGCATTCTTGCTGGGGAAGGGGAACACTTCGCCTTTTTGCTGGTTCCCATAAAGAAGAGATTTGTGAAATCTTGAAAGCCATGATGTGATGGGAGACGGGCAAGAGACTCGTAATTTGCCGCCAAGTCGCGCGCGGCGATGAGGGCGGCGTTTCCTAACTTGTGTTGACCTGTCGATTGGAGCACCGGACTTCATGTAGACCCCGTCATCGTAGACATTCATGACTATTTCGGTTCTGAATTGCCTGTTGTCGCCATCTACTACCTGGAACCATCGTCATTTGCGGGCGCGACGTCGCACGCGACGCCCACCAGCGCGGTGAATTACGCAATTCTCTTGTCGCACCCCTGAAGTGATACCAGTCAAAACTTGTAGAAACTACATGTCGAGTCTTGTAAAGAATATCAACTCTTGTTAAGTAATGTACACGAAAAGTGGAAGCAGCGAAAGTACAAAATTTCACCCCCCCCCCAACCTCCTAGTCGAACTGTGTCACAAAATATTCTAAAGAGTTTTTTGGAACTTCTGGCCTCTTTCAGATAAACGATTTGGAGCTTCAAGTGTTTCCAAACATTCAACATCGAAAATAGTGAAGCTCCGTGGACCACCAATCCTTCCATTTGTTGAAGCCTTGAAATCCTCCGCTGTTCTTTTAATGTCGCTTTCTTCTAACTGAACTATTAGGCTAGGGAGGCATTTTGCTCTTGTACCGCGGAACGGTACGAGTTAGACACTCTGACAGGACTTTACATGTCTTTACAATGTGGCTTGCACAAACTTAGCTGAAAACCACTCAATGCCCCCTTCAAGCCGCAGCATAATTTCAAGGTTACTTAACGTTTAAGAAGTAGAAGTTATCGTGGTATGTTCAGCTCTCGCCCTCGATCCATTTCGCCGAACGGTTCGACTTCAAAGCGGATGAAAGTCGAAGAAGACGCTGATGGAGATGGCGAGTTAGAGATCGATGTACAGAATGACGATGCAGGTGGTGCAGGACATTCAAATGGAACAAGCAGCGCCCCACCATCATCCCTTAAAGTGAGTGGGCTTGGTCGCAGCTCATAATGCTTATACCTTCTGTTTCAATATTTCTATAGACAAACACCAAAAACCAGGGTTTCTAGGTCCCAAAAGCCGACGGTCGAGATTCAACGAACAGTGTTGCATCGAGTGGCGCGAGTACTCCTGGCCCGAAGCCGCGAAATCCCTTGGAACAAATGGGTTTACCTGGTGGTGTATTTGGTGGGTTTTTCAAAGAAAAGACTTTGAAATACAACTTTTCTCACTCTTCTAACTCTTTGACCTCTTCAGGTAACCTAGGTATGAATATGAATCCTCTTGCTGCAGCGTTTAGTCGTGGTGGACTGCCGCCCATATTTGACCAACATGCACAGGTGAACATTGCGAAATTTGTTCCAAATTTGTTTGAAATTTGTTTGTTTACTCGTTCTTGTTGTCTTGGCGTACCTTCTTGCTGAAGCCCGCTCGACTAAGTTACTGTTTCAGGCTCGGATGGCAGCTGGCATGGGTATCGGCGGTCCTGCTGGTGGACTTCTAAACGGAAAACCGGCCTATTCCTTCCGCACGGTTGACGGCGGAGTTTTACAACCGACAGTATTCCCGAGTGATGCGTTCAATGCTCCTGGAATTCCGAAGAGTGTCACGCGAAAGTTTGAGTTACCACATGGAGAGGTAGGCCTTCAAAACGTAAATAGAGCAATTAAATTAAGCAGAAATTTGTGGCTTGCCGCAATTGTGCACTGAAATGTAATTTTTTCAAATTAATTTTCTTGGCTACAGGGGTATAAAGTGAAGTGAGGTAAAACTTGTCTCTTTCGTTCAGTCTATTCACAAAACTCTTGGCAGTGCCTGTGTGCTTTGGAGAGGCGTGTTTTGAAAGCAATTTCCAACAATTATTTATTTATCCATCATTTAATTACACAAATGTCGCGCCACAAAACTCATTAGAGGGAATAATTAAATGGAAATGGCTCAATTGCAAAAAGAAGTAAATAATTGGAGTGAATAGGAATAGCGTAGGCAGCGAGACGTAGGTGGACGGGGATCTTCCTAGTGGTAGAAAAAGAGTTCCATTTCACTGTAAGTAATTTTATTCCATTTGCAAAAATTTGGCCCTCGGTTTTTGGCAGCTGAAAGATGATAGACAACATCTGAAAACTGTAGCGTTGCTACTGAAGGCTTAGTCCAGGCTTCTATTTCTCCATCCCGAGTTTTCTTTGGATGGGATCGTGTTTCCTAGCTAACTTTTGTACTTGGAAATAAGAAGCCGCTAAAGCGTTTATAGTAAAGATTGTAATAAAAGACGATTTAGAGTGTGTTCATACTACGCACTGGTATTTCGGGCGTACGCCAGTGTGTTGAGCGTTATGAGCGAACAGGGAAGTATAGGTATCGATCTA